TGTGTGTGTGTGTGTGTGTGTGTGTGTGGTTTGGTAAGGTATGGTGTGGTATAAAGTTTATTCATTTTAAAAAAGTACAAAACAATTCCATAACAATATAAAAAGATACAAAATGCAAAAGATTTAAAATGAAAGGCAGCAGAAAGAAGAAAAAATCTTATTATATCTTTTTTCAAACAATTATTTCAATCATAATACTTTTCAAGTAACAGAACAAAATGAATAACTCTTTCTAATTTTTCTAATTCTATTGCAAAACACAAACTTAGCTGCTTCATATATACTTTGTTAACAATCCACCTTTGATCTTTTTCTTAAATGCACACATTGACTTGGCATTTTTAGCATCACTCTCTAGACCATTCCACAATCCAACTCCTTGGATTGAGGTAGACCTTCCCTTCAGACTAGTTCTGAATTTTGGTTTGACAAATATCTCTATCCCCTTAAGATTATAACAACTTTGTCTTTTAACAAAATTTTTTTGGATATTTAATGGTAATGTGTTATTTTGAGCCCTATACATAACTGATAAAATACTGTAATCTACTAAATCATGGAACTTTAATAACTTCAGTTGATAAAATAATGTGCTTGATGGGTGACTGTAATGCTTTCTGGTGATAATTCTTATAGCTCTTTTCTGTAAAATAAAAATAGGTTTTGTAAATGTTTTACACACTTTCCCCCAAACATCAATGCAATAGATTAAATGTGGAACAATGATTGTGTTATACAACATGTACAGAGCTTTACCATTTAATGATTACCTGACTTTGTATAGTACTGCAATAGATTTAGATATTTTTGTTCTTACAGAATTTATGTGGTTTTTCCATGTTAGCTGTTCATCAATGATTACACCCAAACATTTCATCTCATTAACTCTACAAATCTCAACACCCTCAATTTTAAATGGATCATCAACAGTTCTCTTTTGTTGCTAAATATCATGTATTTAGTTTTATCTAAATGTAATGATAATTTATTAAGTTTAAACCAAGTTTGTATTTTATCAAATTCTGTCTTAATCAATTCCAATATTGGATATGTATATATATATATATATATATATATATATATATATATACACACATACATACTGTATATATTTTGGAAGTAAGAATAATTTGCAAACCTGGCCAGTAAATTCAGACAGCTTCCAGACAGCTGCATTAGTATTTTTCTTGTTTTTAACTAAAACAAATACGACATTTTATAGTTCAATAACTCTCCAGAACGGCCTTCTTAGTGCCAACTTCTAAGATGCAAAATAATTAAAAAAAATAATAAAACACTTCCCTTTTTAAACACAACGTGCATTTTTGGCTCAACCCCTCAGCCCAGTTGAACCCTCCCCACAAGTCTGCTCCAAACTACTCATACACAAAAGACACAAATGTGGGCTGAGTTAAGAGCCAGGGGCGTCAGAGGACACAACAAAGCAGTTCACAATGTGTGGCCTTTGCAGGTGGAAGATGTTATTTATTGGCTTCTGGTTTCAAGCTTTTTTGTCAGGATCATGTGCTAATAATGGAAATATCTGGCGTGTCAGTCAGCTCTCGAATGAAGGTATGGAAGAAAATCTCTTTATTTTGGTTTGCTCATCCAACAATCCATTAACTATTGCCTTTACGGTGGCTGAGTGGTCAGACCAGTCGTCCTCCAATGCAAGAGTTGGGGGGTTCGATTCCATCAGCAGTCACATGCCGAAGTGTCCCTGGGCAAGACACTGAACCCCTCATTGCCTCTGATGTGTGCCCCATTGGTGTATGAATGTGATAAAGCACTGATTAATCTTTGTGTAGATATTGTAGAGTGCTGTATGAATGTGTAAATGAGGGCACAGGTAGTGTTGTAAAGTGATTGGAGTATCTTGATAAGAAAGGCGCTATATAAGTACAGTCCATTCTCCTCTCTGGGTCATGGGGGTTGTCGGTGCCTATATGTGCTCATGTACAGTTGAATAGGTTTCCCTTTGTTTACTTGAACAGCTGAAGTCCCTTTACTGTTAAAAATTATAATGAGCAAAAACAGCACAAAGTTGCTAAAATTGCTGTCTGTTTTTTTATACTCTAAAATACAGTTTATTTTTATTATTTTTATTAAGTTTAATTGTGGCTTTATACAAATGCATCCTGTTAAATGATTTGCAGTGTTTTCTTAGGTTTAACTGTTTTTAGGTGCTTTTTAAATATACATTTGTAAACTTGGATAACTGTTTAAATTTAGCTAAAACATTACATTAGTGGGGACAAAATTATATCTTATACTTTGTAGAAAACAAAGCTTACAGGAAGTTTATCTTTGCAAGGTAATAAACCATCAAAGCAAGTTTCTATGTTTTTGTGCACTCCAGAGATACTGGAATATATCACAGCTAATGAAAACAAAATACTTGTGCTAAAGGATTTTATACAACGTACAGTACTGTATTCTGTTACAACAGGAATATCTTACTATCAAATAGGATAAAATATCTTCAACCTAACCTGAGATTATTTGTTATTAGTTTAAAGAAATACTTTTTTTTTTTTTCTATTTTTGAAGCAAAGGTTGGTGGTTAAAAACAAACATACAAAAAAAAAAACTATTTTTTTTACATCATTACTAATAGTCCTGCTTGTTGTTTGTGTGTTATGTATGTTTGTCCTGTCTGGAGCAGATGTTCTGGTCCTGGAGGATGAGGAGAATCCTAAATGTTTCACTCGCACTGGAGGCGATTTCACGTGCTTTTTGGAGACCGCAGACAACAAAACTTTTGATTTCTTCTACAGTCTTTCAAAGTACGTTCATAAGAGGTTTAGAGATTTTTACTGTGACACAAAATGGATTCATGACAGATGAAAAAAAATACAACCTATTTTGGATCAAAAATATTAATAAAATAAATAATAAATAAACAAATAAATAATATTCCCTATCGGATCTTTGAAAAAGCAATAATAACTTTATATAAACAATAGCACAAACATTAGACCAACTGTAGCCCCTCTGAAAACACATTTTCTGCAGACCTGGAATTTTTAAATGTGTTTGAACACAAAAGCAAGACAGACAGTAATTATCTCAGAAATGCAACTGCTGTTCTGTAGCAATCTAGCATAATGGGGTTGTTTTCATTATTTAATCATGAGAAAAAGTATATTGTTACAAAATATTTAGGACAGTGCTAAATATGCTGCTTTGGTAAGTTAGGGTCAAAGTGCATGCTGCTTTCAGCTGCCACCCAAATCATCATGGTGAAGAGTGAGCTAAGCTGCAAGATGAAGCTCCCTGTTCACATGTCGGTCTAGATACCTTCCCTCACCTATGATCACAAACTCTAGAGACTGAATGAGCGAGATTGCGGATACAGGCAGTCCTTACGAGTTGGCTTTGCAGGGTAGCTGGTTTCTTTCTTAAACATAGGGTGAGAAGTTCAGTTATCTAGGAGAGAATAGAGTAGAGTCGCTGCTCCTCCACATCGAGAAGCTGAGACGGTTCAGAATTCTGGTTAGAATTCCCCCTGGACACATCCCTACAGACGTGTTCCAGGCATGTCCAACTGGAAGGAAACCCTGGGGAAGACACAGGACAAGAGAGATTACAGTATGTCTCTCTGCTGGCCGGGGAACACCTTGGAATCCTCCCAGAACAGCATGAAGAGGTGGCTGTGGAAAGAGATGTGTGGGCTTCCAAGCTCAAGCTGCTGCCCCCACAACATCAGAATGACTGAAAATAAAATAATTAAATTAAAAATCAAATGCTGCAATGGACAAGTCAAAGTCCAGATCTCATCTTAATGGAAATGCTGAGGCACAACTGAGGTAACATTGAAGGATGTGAAACAACAACAAAAAAATCCACAAGAGAAGCTCACACAAATGGGGATGCTCTTTATTGGTGCTGCAAAGAAGTTGTTCTAAGCATTTGTTTGATGAAGTGTGAATTGTTTTCCACACATCTTTTTTTATTAAATTCACAAGGTTACAATTGAAAGATTGTAAAAAAAAAAATACCACGAATGCAGAAATTATTAAATGACACACGAGTTACCATATATTGTTCAATTCATTTCAAATCAATTTATTTATATAGCGTCAATTCACAACAAAGATGTCTCGTGGCACTTTACAGAAACATTCACATACATAGAAAAGTCGTTGACTCTTCGCTGCATTGCAGTCTCCCATCCTGAGCAAGCACAATGGCAACAGTGGAAAGGAAAAACTCCCATTTAAAAGGAAGAAACCTCCAGCAGAACCAGGCTCAGGACAAGCGGCCATCTGCTTTGACCGGCTGGGTTTGAGAGGACAGGAAGGAGAGACAGACGAACACAGAATGGCAGGTCCAAATGTAGGTGCAGGTGAACCTGAAAGACAAAAACATGCCAAGGATATATATAAAAAAAAAAAAAAATACAAATATAAAACAGGTTGAGCAGAGTAAGTAAAGACAGTAGCAGAGTGAAGAAATGTGGTCAGTTTGTCCTCCAGCAGTCTAAACATATAGTATCATAACTAAGGGATAGCTCAGGAAACCCAAGCCAACCCTAACTATAGGATTTATCAAAAAGGGAAGTCTTAAGCCTAGTCTTAAAACTGGACAATGTGTCAGCCTCACGGATGGAAACTGGAAGTTGGTTCCACAAGAGAGGAGCCTGATAACTGAAAGCTCTGCCTCCCATTCTGTTTTTAAAAACTCTAGGAACCGCAAGTAAGCCTGCAGTCTGAGAGCGAAGTTCTCAGTTAGGAAAATAAGGAACAATAAGATCTGTAATATGTAATATAAGATGGAGCTAGGTTGTTGAGTTTTGTAGGTTAGAAGTAAGATTTGAATCATATTCTGAATTTGACAGGGAGCCAATGGAGAGAAGCTAAAACTAGAGAAATATGATCTCCCCTACTAACACCAGTTAAGATTCTGGAAGCAGCATTTTAGATCAGTTGAAGACTTTTTAAAGAAGTATTTGGACACCCAGATAGTAAATAATTGCAATAGTCCACCCTAGATGCGACAAATTCATGAACCAGTTTTTCTACATCATTTTTGGACAAGTTGTTTCTAATCTTAGTGAAATTGCACAGGTGGAAGAAAGTGTTTTTGGTAGCAGTTTTAATATGTGGGTTAAAAGACATGCCCTGATCAAAAATAACACCAAGATGTTTAACTTTACAACTGGAGGCCAAAGTAAAGCCATCCAGAGAATGTGAAAGACTGCAGAAGATCCTCAGGTCCAAAACCCACAACCTCTTTATTGTCTGAGTTTTAAAGCTTAAAATTAAGGGTCATCCAAGCTTTTATGCATTTAAAACATGATTGCAACTTAAGTAATTGAATTTATCCCATGCTGTTTAATAACTTTACTTAATGAAAACATATATAAAGTAAAGAGTACTGGTTCAAGTACTGAACCCTGAGGAACTCCATGACCAATTTTGGTGTTTGAAGAAGATTCATTATCTATATTTACAAACTGGAATCAATCAGATAAATATGATTTAAACCATTGTTTTTTATATATATATATTTTTAAACCTCAAGCTCCAGCTGCCTTTTTTGTCCTGCAGGCATCTCTGCTCAAACACTCCTGATTTAAATAAACACACCATTATCAAGCTTCTACATTTGTAATGATACTAATAAGTATTTCCTGTTCTGTTTTTATCCATTTTGATAATCAAGTGTGCCAAGAACAAGATGTGACATGTCTTTCCATGGAACAGAAGATGGAAGATTTCTGCATGTCTGCTCATTTCCCCAGAAACATGTCTATTTGCACACCAACATATTAATTCACGTGGTGGACCGCCCCAACAACACCGTCCGCTATAGTCGAATAGTGAGCGTGGAAGATCATTGTAAGCTATTTGTTTAACAAGATTTCATTCCTCATCAAATAATTGATGGAGATGAACTGTAACAAGCCTCTAGCTTGTCCTTTGTGTGATATTCTGGTCACCAAGTTCAATGTGTTCTGGATGTTTTAATTCTTTCAGATCTTTTGAAACCCCCTTTCAATGTATCTGTAAAGCCAAATGGCCACGTGGGGCAGCTGGATGTTTCCTGGGATGCAGAAGCCGTGGAACACATGGAGGAGGAAGACGAGTTCAGAATCCAATACTTCTCCAAGTCTTTTGGAAAAAAGACAACACAAGTACCATTATGTTTTATAATATTCATATTTATTTCTTTTACTTAAAATTCCACTTTTGAGATGCTATCGTGGCAACCTACATTTTACAGCAACTTAAAAAAAATATATTGATTCTTTAGTCAAATAGTTAAATGATATTTGTGTGATTTCAGGGAAAGAAGAAACACCTCCAGCTCTCTCTGGCACCAGGTGAGGAGGTCCAAGTCCAGGTTGCAGTGAAATTAGCCTTTTCATCAGATACTGGGCACTGGAGCAGGTGGTCCCAACCTGTGAGAGCCTCAGTTCCCCAAAGTGCAGGTACAAACAGGCTGAGAAAAGTGTTGCGTGTAAAAAGAGCAACGGAGAAGGAACTGATTCCTATAAATGAATCAAAATTATTTATGCTGTTTCTCTTTCAGATGAAATATCTCTTGGTTGCACCTTTGACCTGCAAAATGTTACCTGTCGCTGGAATGGAACTGCACACGGAGCAAAAAGCATCGACAAACTTTTCTACAAGATGAATTTTGGGTATAATAAAGCACGCTCTATATTTAGTCACTGATTTGATCATTTTAATTGAGCAGTTTGATGAATTTTCATCTTCCCATTTATCAAATTGAAACAAATGCAACATCAGAATATAAAAGTTACAAAAAACTAATTTGAAAATAATCTGTCATGCACATGTGGCTGATATGACTCAAAAGAAACAAAAATATTAATAAACGCAAGGTACACAAAGAGGGAGAGGCTGCAGTCTGTAGAATTAGAAAGTAATGTTTAAAGCTATATTTGTCTGCCTTGAGTTGTTTTAATTTTTATTTTAACCTCAGCATGATGTCACTCTTCCTCTGTGTGTGATCTGTGGGCTTCAGTAACACACAGTGACACACAGTGACACACAATAACACACACTATTTGTGTCATATTGAACCACCTTTACACCTTTGTAACTAATTTAGAAGCTGCTCAGAGGCTCAAGATTTCATTAAGATTCTGCATCTTGTTTGTCTAAATATTTCCTATTGCCTCCTGAATTTCCAATAATTTAATAACTCATCCTCAGGAGAGGCTTTATTCTCCATTTATAATACTGAAATCCTGTTTAGGATCCTAATTTGTCAGTGAGGAACTCAAACTGTCTAATGTATTCAACATAATGGTACTTCACCTAACAGTCACTAATGGTGTGCCACAAGGCTCAGTTTTAGGTCCCACTCTTTTTACAATTTATAAAAATAATGTAGGTCAAAACATTCCTGACACATCCTTGCATCTCTATGCTGATGACACTGTTGTCTATTGCCGAGCTAACACAGTTGCCAAGGTTTTCCAGCTTCTACACTCTGCATTTGACATCATGCAGTCAAACTTATTCCATCTCAAATTGAGAAAACCAAAGGGATGTTGTTTTTTAACAGAAAGTCAGTGCCAGCAACTCTCCCTCCTATCTCATCCATGCATGGTGTTCCTAACGAGTTTGTAGATTTTTACAAATAACTGGGAATTTTGGTAGATGCACATCTTTCTTTTAAACCACATATCGAAAACATGATAAAGAAACTGAAATTAAAACTAGTTTTCATTTCAGAAATAGATCTTGGTTAACTCTGAATGCCAGAAAACACCTTCTAACTGCTACCTTCATAGCGGCCTTTGTCTATGGTGATATTATTTACATGAATGCCCCTGCCAGATCCTTGCAGGTATTGGATGCTGTCTACAATGGCACGCTAAGATTCACAACAGGTTGTAACTACACTATCACTGCACTCTGTACTCAATGGTCAGTTGGTCATCATTATCTACTGTACACATAGACTCTCACACTGGTACATTTTCTTCTATAAATCTCTTCTTGGTCTGCTACCTTCTTATATGGCCTCACACATGTTATGCCGTCAGTGCAGTTATGCACTCTCAGTCCATCATTACCTGCAGCGTTCCCTCAGTGCAGACTGAACTTGGCAAAAAGGCATTTTCTTACTCTGCTCCTGCAACCTGGAACACCTTGCAACAGGAACTGAAGCTGTCCTCCTTAATTTATTTAAGGAGTTTCAAACATTTGATAATGTCAATGGAAAAATCAAAGCAAATATGTTATTGCTTTTAGTATTTCACCCTGTTTTACAGCACCCTGATTTATTGTTTTATACACTACTCTTTTAACTGCATTTTTACTGTAGTTTATTTTCATTACTGTTATTGTTGTATGTACTTTATATGTTCTGTCTAGAACAGGCCCCTCTTGTAAATGAGTCCTCGTGGCTCAATGAGGCTATCCTGTATAAATAAAGGTTGAATGAATGAATGAATATGATATATTCAAGGTCTTTTTTTTACTCATAACTGTACCATAACTTTTAGTTTTTTAATGTTTTGTTGGCATCAAATTGATAATCATGTGACATGAATCTTATGAACACTTGCAGGGAACCTTTGCAGTTGACTGAATGGGCCGAGTGTCTGCCTGATGGGAAAGTCAGCAACACGTGTTATTTCCACGGAGATAACTTAAAGAAAATAAAGATACAGCTCAGCAGAAATTCAGATTCAATCAACCGAACTTTCTTTAGTGAACCGTTGACGCTCAACAACCTGAGTGAGTGTTGTTCTCATTGTTAGATTCTTTTAAATTTTAGTTTGGGTTTGTAATTATGGGATAAAAGTGTCAACTTAATTTTTTTGTAATTCAGTTTCCAAACAACAACTACCGCTCTACTACAGAAAGTCATGATAATGGCACATTTATATTCACACATTAGATTTAACAAATGTAAAGTTAGGCAGTTTCAAAGTTGATATTTGCTCATGAACACTTTTTCCTGCATTTCTAACAGTTTTTTTTCTGCTTTTCTTATGCTGCTTCAATAATTACACCACCTTCTGTCATTCTAATTATCAAAAAGCTTTTATTTTGTAATTTTGTCAGTTTTTTTTTAAATATAATTAACAGTTAAAACAGTTCCACCACGCCACCTGAAAGGTGAGCTGAGGAAAGACAAGTTGTGTTTGGATTGGGAAGCTCCTCTTCTGTCTCTGTCGAGCCATCTGCAGTACGAAATTAACGTCCAGGTCAAAGGAGGCGAACGGTGGAGCGTAAGTTAAAGATACACCACCTATCATGTTCAGTGTGACTACAATAAAATATAAATAGCAATATATAATATAATAGCAATTTCTAATGTGAACATGAAACTATTTTTGTTGTTAATAACAGGACAATTGTATTTTGTTTGTAATCAAAATAATTGTGTGAATCAAAAACAAAAAAAAAAGTCTAAACAAATCTTATATAGTTAGTTTTGCAAAATGCATTCAATAAAAAGGTCAAAGTGAATTCATAAAAAGTTAACTAGCAGACATGACCTTTACATTTTTATTCATTAAAAAATAAATAATGCATATTACCGCTGTTCATTACTATCCAGTTAAAACTTTTATCAGATACTAAAAGTGTGTAAACTTATACGTGAATCAGCATTATGCTTTCATTCTTGAAGTAGACTTGTAACTTTGCCTTGGAAAATATGAACAATTTTATTGGACACAAACATGTAGGTCAGAAATAAACATTAGAATTTACTTATAACATATCCGATATGTTATAAGTAAATTCGATCACATAGATAGATTTAACATCGATCACAATGATTGTGATCGATGTTAAATCTAAAGCTTTTTGCTCCTTTTGTACAATTCTTCATCTTGCCACAAGATGGCGATAAAGCTGTTAATTTCCAAACCTTGAAATACCCATGAGGCATGCTGCATCCTTCCCAGCTAAAGTCAAGAAAAAATATGTCCCAACTTGTAATTTAGTACATATGGGGCATTAACACATTTATCAAATCAATACAGAGAAATCTTAAAACTAAGAAGCAAATAAATGAATGAATAAAATGACTAAATCAGTCTTTTTTACAATGTTTGCAGATGATAAAGGGCACCGACACTAACACGTGTGTGAAGGTCCTGTCTGGTTCCCAGTTCAGTGTTAAAATTAGAGCTAAACCAACTGGACCCATTTACTCAGGCTACTGGAGTGACTGGTCGGATGTGTTGACCGGTGAAACCGCAGCTGACACAGGTGAGCTGAAAGATTACATAAATAAATACAATTAAAAATCAATGGTGAAGATTTCCAAACTTATTATGTATGGGATTTTATTATATATGAACTCAAAGTTGCATAATTTCAGCAAATAAATTGATTTAGTTGATTTTATTAATACATTGTGTATTTATTTAAATCCATCCATGTATTTAAAAAGTTTGTCCTAAATGTACCTTACTGCCACCCTTACTGTGTGTGACTGTTTCCAGACTTGTTGCTCCTTTGGTATATCCTTGTCCCCCTGCTGACCATAGCCATCACCTTCATCTGCATTGTTTGTTATTTCCGCAGGTAATTCTTATTTTGTTTATTTCCAATTCATTCACAAAACTGGGATAACCGAAGAGTCATTCATCCATTTTTTTTCAGACAAAATACTTTTGTGTTTCCATGTTTTTGGATATTTTTGATGAAAATGATAAATCCTACTTTCCAAGTGACTAAACCGTTTAAATTTCATCCTCCGCAATTTAAATATCTGTTGTTTTGTGTGTGTTTAAAGCAAGCTCAAGCAGTATTTTTGGCCAGCAGTGCCCAATCTTGAAAAGGTTCTGCACGGCTTCCTGACAGACATCAACCAGCAGAAATGGGTGAATTCTTTGACAACAAAAATAAATGTGTTCACACATGCATTACACCTCAAAATATTCCATTAAAAACAGGGGTGGGCAACTATATTTTTTCCCCCAAAGGGCCAAATCAAAACTATTTAACGCAATAGAAGGGCTGCTTAGAGAATTGCAACATGAACTTTAATTAAGACACAAATTCTTTTAAAAAAAAAAAGTTTTTCACGCTTTTTCTTGTGACATAGTTGATAGATGCTCTATAAAAAATATGTCCCCCAAATACATTGAAGAGAAATAATTTCTATAATATGACTCGTGCGACAATATATTAATATACATATTGGGGTAAAAAAGTTATATATTTGAGTTTTTGGAGTCTTTAAGGTTCAGTCTAGTTCTAGAAACACAAATTAAAAAATAGCCTTATTCTAAAGGTTTTTATGTATCCAAGATGTTTAAGTTAAACTTCCTTAAATTTAATTCATAAACGTTTTCATCAACTTTTAAAAAAAAGTTGTTTTCTTTTCAATTAAGAGTTTTGGGGGACGGATGGAAATTGTCCAAAGGCCACTTTTGGCCCTCAAGCTGTTCGTTGACCATGTCTGCATTAAAATATTCATATTAATGATACACACTGATACTGTCACTGTACCAGTTTTCAGCTTCCTGTTGTATATAAATGTCAAAATTAAATATGACTTCCTGTCCTCACATTACAGGGTCCACCTGTCATGACTAAGCAGTGTTTTGAAGAAGCCACGTCATCAGTGGTAGAGGTCATGTCTGAAGGTGAGATTCCAGGATCAGAAAAGTCCTCAGAAGAATTTTCTGAACTCATGTCATCTGATGGACACTTCTCCACCCAAGATGGAGATCCTGGGACTGAAGTCCTACCAGACTATGTGACTCTGAACAAAGATCTGACTTTTATCTGCGATGGAGAAAACAGTTACGTTTATGAGCAGCTTCCAAAGAAAGAAGACCCTTATGTAGGAGACAGCTTCCTCCAAACATGCTGCACTGATGGTTCAGCAGGCAACAACTACGTCAACCATTTCTACCTAACTGTGTCCAAGTCTGCAGAAACGTTAAACAGTAAGGTCAATGCTGAAACTGCTCCAGGAAACAACTACGCCAACCTTCCCCGGAGATAAATCCACACCAGAGAATTTCTGAACAGGAATTCACTTTAAACCAATGCAACTCAGTGAATTCATGCTGGTGGTTATTAATATTATTAATATAACACTCTGGTTTCAGCAAAATAATGTTGCAGTGCAGTAAAACAGATATAAAGCTGCAGGTAAATCTATATTTTGAATAGACAATCAATAGAATAATTACTTTTTTAAAAGAATGCTCAGCTGAAGTTTTTAAGTACAGACATTAGCTAAAACATACAGATGTTGCTTTATTTTATTTTACTTTGGCTGATGCAGCAGAGGCTGTAAATAAGTATTTTTTTAATCAACAAGTTATTGACTGGATTGTACAGTTTCACCACACATGTAGTGTAAATTAATGCTATCCTACATTTATTTATCTTCATATAGGGATCGTTTTTGTTGTTTTTCAGTGGATGTTGGACTCACATGTGCTTAGTGCTCGCCGAGAGTTGTTTGCAGGCCTTTTTTAATTTTTTTATTTATTTTTTTTTACATTACCTACAGATATGAGCACCCTGGGTCAAACTACAGCAAGAAGTGTCAGTTTATATATTATTTATGTAGCATTAACATGGAAGATTAGCTAAAATGTAAGCAATAGATTTTGTGCTCTCTTATACGTGAACTGTAAATGACATTATCTACTGTTCTGGTTTTGCTATGTGCATTAATAATGAGCACATTTTTAATAGGCAATAAGAAATGAATCACAGTAAAAGTTGCCTCAAAGGTAAGACAACTAAAATGTTAACCTCTGTGTTTGATCTATGATGCTTTCCCTGTATGATTGTTTCAGGGTTTGTATTTTTTTTTTTACAATAAATGTAATAAAAAAAATTCTGTTTCGTATTCTAAAATGATGGAAACTTTAGAACTTTTGGTAAACAACTGACTCCCCTCAGGGCTGTGTGCTGAGCCCTCTCCTGTTCACTCTGCTCACGCATGACTGCGCACCTATCCATCCAGGGTGCCATATTGTAAAGTTTGCAGACGATACAGCGGTGGTGGGATGCATCACAAACAACGATGAGTCCATCCACAGGCAGGAGGTGGAACACCTGGAGAGATGGTGCAGGAAGCTCTACAATTTTGATTTGGAGTCAGACTCCCCACCATCACAGACATCTACACCTCCAGATGCAGGAAAAGGGCCACCTGCATCATGAAGGACCCCACTCATCCAGCACACACTTTTTCCCCCGCTCCCCTCAGGAAGGAGGTTGAGGAGCATTAAGTGTAGAACCATTAGACTGAGGAACAGCTTCTACCCTGAAGCTGTTACTCATGAATATCTAACCAGAATAATCACTGTGAAAAATCACATCACCTTGCTGCTGATCTGTTTCATGTTGCTGCTGATCTGTTTCATGTTGCTGCTGATCTGTTTCATGTTGCTGTGTTCATTCATCCTCATCTGCTCACACAGATGTTTGTGCTGCTGTTTGGCGTATTGTTTTTGTACTACTAGTGCTTAGTGTATTTCTATTTTTTTTTCTTAGTTCATAGCTTAGATCTTATTATGTTTTTATTTTACATTTTAATACTTGTGTTGGATGTAACTGGGACCCCGTGCACACAATTTCGTTTCACCACATGTACCGCATGTGGTGCAAATGACAAATAAAGAAACTATGGCTCTGACTAAATAACACACAAGACACCCCAACAGTGTTTTCATTGTTGCTGATTATCAAGCAACAGGGATTGTTTAATATATATTTTTTTTTTTTTTTTTTTGTTTGTTTGTTTTATTTTTTTGCCTCACAGACATCCCATGAATAATAAACTTTCTTACAAGCAGGCCAGAGATTACTGGTCAAAAATAACATTGTTTTTACTCTCGCCACCTCAGCTGGTGCTCCACAGGGCTGCATCCTCTCACCCCTTCTCTTCAGGTTTTACACTGAGAACTGCAGGTCCATTCAGTCATGTATGGTGACACAATCCTCCTGAGTCTGCTCTCAGGTCCCATACAGCATCACAGCTCGGCTCTACTCAGGAAATTGAGAACATGTTGTAGGGCGGAAATCACTTTTTAAACTTTTAAACTTTAAATGAAAGTCTTCCCCAAAATTATTCACTGCCCTGTTTGAGCACCCCCCTTATGTGATCAACGGACTGCTAAATCAGCTCAGACGTTGTTATGACCATTTTGATTTTTTATTTATTTATTTTCTTGTGGTATTTTAGTGTTTTCCGTGAGCATTGAGACTCCATTGCTGTACCTTGTGGAAATCAAAGGAGGAAGGTAACTTTTGTCATTAGGGCTGTCCAGCAAGTGTACATGGCACTTCTTGACTTAATAGTTGTTTTATTTCCTATAGTTTATGTTTTTTTTGTTTTTTTTTTTACAATTACACTTTAACGTTAAACTTTAGACTGTTAAAGCAGCTACATTTTGTCTGTTCAAAAAGCATCTTTAAGTTGAGTAACCTGATTTGAATTGATTTTATCTGCTGAATTTACATGAGTTACCACTAGGGGACAGTAGAGATCAAACTGACAGTCGAGATAACAATTGAAAGTGAGACAAAGTCTAGGAGTTATTTTACAGGTTGATCAGCATCCATCCATCCATCATATTTTACCCGCTTTTTCCTTTTCAGCTTGTGGGGGTCACTAGTGCCCATGTCCAGCTATCACTGTGCAAGAGGCGGGGTACACCCTGGACAGGTCTCCTCCAGTCCATCACAGGAACACTTATAGACAAACAACCATTCACTCTCTCACTCACACCTAGGGACAATTTAGAGTTACCAATTAGCCTAACATGCATGTTTTTGGTCTGTGCTGGAGTACCTGGAGAAAACCCACACATGCATGGAGAGAACATGCAAACTCCACCGAGGTCGGCCCCCAGGCCAGGATTTGTACCTGGACGACCTGCTCGCTGAGAGGCAGCAGCTCTACCAACTGTGCCACCGTGCTGCCATTGATCAGCATCAAATCATGATTTAAAGCCTTGTACTTTTGGCCTGCCCTGTCCATATATGGATTAAATACATAAAAGTTGAGAGATAAAATGTTAATTAAAACATAATCTCCATAGTACAGCTAATCAATAACAAAAGTCCACAACACAGACAAATGATAGAGGTTAGTTTATTGACAAAAGTGAATTAAATGCTCAATTGAAGTTTATTCAATAATTTATATTCACATTTTAGATGAAAATAAGTGACCTGAGATGGAACAAACGTGACTCGTAACTTTTTAGGAGGATGAGGTATGGCAATAAAATATAAGACCTTTAAAATAAACTGTTATTTGCAATTTACCAATCAGAATCCAAAGAAGGCATCAATGTTTTAACAATATTTTTATGTGTGGGGGGAAGAAGTTTTACTTATTTATTTATTTATTTTAAAGGGGCATTAGTCATTCTTAAACCAAATGTTTAAGTGTTTAATGTGATCCCCAGCTGCAGATAAAGCATTATAATAAAAACTGGCTTCTGTAACTACTGAATGCAATCACACAGTTCATCGGAATCACAGTGTTTGTATGATGTCACCACTAGAAATGAACTCCAATGCTCCCTATGAGGCAATAGGTGAGGATGGGAGAAAATGAGGCAGGCCGAAGGAGAAAATTTTAAAGCGTCTGTGTTTACTGACAAACGAGCTTTTCCTCCCGACATGAATTCTTTCCATGTTCCATCACTGCCCACTCGCACATACACTAATGTCTATGGAGGGAGGTTGAGTCACCTCATGATGTAATTTCCTCAACTTTCACTTACAGTTGTACAGAAAAGCAACATGGTTTCAGAGGTGATGGGAGTACTGGTTGTACTATATTGTAAAACGTGTTTAGAATCCAACAGGACCAAAAGTCCTGCTGGATCCTGCTGAATAGAGTGTGTCATGTAAAAATCTGCCATAAAAAAAACAAACTGTAAACAACAAAACAGGCAGAACTACCGCATTTTGCACCGTACACATCGCACCACCATATAAGTCACATCAGTCCAAATATGTCTAATAAAGTGGGGAAAAAAATAAATATGTTGCTTCGCCATATAGGTCACATCTATTGAGTGTCACCGCTGACAACCAGGAAATGTGGGTCGGTGTTGTTCCAGAAATCGATTGGCTGCCAAATGGTGGCTGCAGAAGCGTGCATGGGAGGACTTTAACAATAATTTAACAAGACTAACACTTAAAAACAATTATATAATTGCTCAAAATTATAGCAAAGTACGCAGCACGGTGGCACAACTGGTAGAGCTGCTGCCTCTCAGTGAGCAGGTCCCTGGCTCAAATCCCGGTCCGGGGGCCTTCTGGGTGGAGTTTGCATGTTCTCTCCGTGCATGCGTGGGTTTCCTCCGGGTGCTCCGGTTTCCTCCCACAGACCAAAACCATGCATGTTAGGCTGATTGACAACCCTAAATTGTCCCTAGGTGTGAGTGAGAGAGTGAATGGTTATTTGTCTCGTTTGTCTCTATGTGGCCCTGTGATGGACTTGCGACCCGTCCAGGGTGTACCCCGCCCCTCGCACAGTGATTGCAGGACATGGGCACCGGCGACCCCCGTGACCCAAAAATGGAAGAAGCGTTTAAAAGATAATGGATGGATGGATGGATATAGCAAAGGTGAGTCTCAGTCTAATTTTTCCTTAATAAATGCACTTTGACGGTCAAATCAGCTGCATTTCAAAACCCGATACGCAGAAGCAGGAGCGCAGAGGGACGACCCGCTGTGCATTTATTTGAAATTTAACAAGATAACCACCTAAAAACAATTATTTGTTTGCTCAACATTATAGTAAAGGTGTGTCTCAGTTGAACTTTTACTTAATAAATGCACTTCAGTGGTCAAATTAGCTGCATTTCATCGGAGCAGCGCAGCGAAACGAAACAGATTTATGGTTGCTCCAGGCATGATCCCAAAGCTGGGCAAAAGTGGCAGTCGACGGCAAACCGATTGTGTCATTAATAGCCACTTTTACCTATTACATGACACAACGGCATGCCATACCACTCAAGTGCCATCTAGCGGCTGAAAATGGTAGTGTTCAATGTTTTCAATGTCAGAATGAATGAAAACGGTCACATCTCAGCCAAATGTTGGTTTATAAATATGGGGAAAAAACCATTAAAAAGTTGCTTCGGTGTATAAGTCGCAGGGCATGCAAATTATGAAGAAAAAAAAACTGTGACTTACAGGCCGGAAAATATGGTAATAGTTTTAAGGGAAAACGGAGTACCTTCAGAGATTCAGCAGGAGTAGGGTCTTTGATTTTCTGCAAAGGCACTGTCTATTACCAGAAGAAGCGTGAACGTGTTTAAATAAACGTCTAATTTATCTTTGTCTAAAAATCACAGCTGATCACTACCTCAATGGGGCTTGGCACATGTTCATAAATAATCTTTCCAGATATATATTTTTAAACTTTTTATTTATTTATTATTTTTGCACTTCTACTAATCAGAAGATGCAAAACTGCTACAACCATCTATGGTTCTTTTAACGTCACTTGGCAGCATTTAAAGATCAAGAAGAAGAAAAGGTCTGCCCTCAGACCTCAGCAGTGATTCTTAAAAACAGTGACTCAGGTTTAAATGGATAAACTTTTTACATGAATCACAAATTGGATGATTACAAGAGAAAACTGTCCAGTTTGTCTTTAATTATTAATAGATAAATCAAAACAATCCAACAGCTACATTTAGCTACATATTTCAAAATGTTATTCAGCAGCAATAGTAACAAAAACATTATATGTTTTAATTTAAAAGTGTAAACTAATCAATGTATTGTTTTACATACACCTTGGTTTAGAATACAGATCTTGATACATTAAGTTTCACTGTTTTTTTGGCACAAAATTTAAAAAAAGATACTAAATCACAGTTAAATGGTGCATGTAAACATTGTGAACCAAATTAATCACATTTTTTTTGTCCTTTATTTCAGAAATGAATAATTCTGCAGTACAATCTTGGCAATGTATTAATAATGTAACAAAGTATTTATTATATGGACCCAGCTGGTCCTTTAAGCTCAGTGCTGTTTTCTGGATGGGTTGGAAACACTTAACTCTGTTTGGTCCCAGAAGCTCAAAATTCTCTGAAAGTCAAAGACTCAGCATGGCATTCTGTTCTGAAAACAGATCCCCCATATTCAGAAAAATAAAATAAAATCCTAATATGATGTAAACAAAAGGAGCCCACACTGTTTGAATCCAGGACCAAACAAATGGAAACAATTATTATACTTGTAAATTATTATTTTGTCTCAAAATTTTGTCAGAATATTGTTAAAATCTAAATTTGACCAACATTCTACTGATTTGAATGTTTATATATTATTTATTTTTATAAAAAACTTTACTATTTGTCAATTAGATACATTAATAACAAACATTACCTTTATATTACAAATTGCTGAAACAATCCGAATGTTTTATTTTAGCTATTTTTCTCTCCCAAAGCAACATGGGCTATTTTTTAAGAGCAATGTAATTTAATTACTTGAGATCCACAGTGACCAGACTCACTGCAGGGTCTGCAGCTCTGATGGGCAGCTGTGGAGCGTGATCAGACGTTGGCCTTCTTGTTGATGAGAACAGAGCAACATGTGAGGCAGCCATCCACTTTGACCTTTTCCATGTTGGACACTGGAATCAACATGTGGTCCTTCAGCTTGTCAAACACCTGCGAGACAAACATGCAAGATTGTCAATGCAAACTCTCACCTTAAAACTTACTTTTATTGTCTTTTTTCTGTTAAAATGAGAATATGACACTTCTTGCATTTTAATTTAGGCATGAGAGTTATGTTTATTTGTGAGTCTGCATTTTTAGATTAAACAAGCATAAAATATAATTTTAGACAATACCAGTTTAACTATTGCAATTTGCTACAGAAGCTGAAACTGAGTTGTTAATCCTTAAAGTTAACTAGATAAAAGGGATATCTAAAATCTAAAGGTAGCAGAATGGTAGCAAACTACCATTTACCATTAAAAGCAGCATGAGCGGACAAAAATGAAGCTAATGTGGTAAAACAATATTCACAAGGAACAATGTTTTTGAAATAATTGAAGAGGTCTCTGTGCATTTTTATGTGGAAGATATTTGTAAATATAAAATGTGAAAAATATAAAAGCTACAAAAACTAAAAGTCATAGCACCTGTAGTGTGAGTGAGTTGAAAGTTTTAATACATGAATGACTAAAATGATTTTGAGATTTAATGACATCTAGTGGTCAAGTTGCAGACTGCAACGTCTTCAATCTAATATCTATATAGTGTATATGTAAATGGTAAATGGTAAATGGAGCTTACTTCTATAGCGCCTTCCAGCCCCCTATGAGGGGCCCCAAGGCGCTTTACAGTACCAGCCATCCACCCATTCACACGCACATTCATACACCGGTGGCGGTAGGCTGCCATGCAAGGCGCCATCCAGTCCCACCGGGAGCAACTCGGGGTTAAGTGTCTTGCCCAGGGACACAACGGCACATGGTGTGGGAAGTCGGGATTCGAACCTCCAACCTTCCGATCAGAGGTCGGCTGCCACTACCACTGCACCACGGCCGCCCATGTATGTATATATATATATATATGAAATAAACAAATAGCACATAAACATAAAGTTGGCTGCAAAAATGCAAAAACTTAAAATAATGTGGACTACGAATCATACTACTGTACTGTGAATGTTTTTATATTTATGCTTAGATATCTTGCTAAAACTATTGGCATACTTTACATTGGTTTTGATACCAAATAACTTAAAGATTAGTGTTTTCACAGATTAGTTTCATTGAAAAAATAATTTATTACTTTTTTGATTTTACAAAATAAATATTTTTGCTTTCAGAAGTATGTAAACTGACTAAACTGAGGCCTGCACACTTTAGTCTTTAAAGTCCAGTTTATCAGTGGTATCAATCCCTGCAGAGATAAACTAAGTATGAAGCAAGATAACAAGCACTGAATGTTTCCTTGTTTCCTAGCAAAATATAAACAAGTAGGTATACATTTGTAAATAAGAAAAGACGAAAAGAAATGGAGTGAGAATCATTACAACATCCCCACAAGACCCTTGTAAAGAAGTGTGTCACCCTGTGGATATTTTCCAAAAGAAAACAACTCTTTTCCTACTGCACTTCCAAATCAGGGCTTTTTTCTTCTTTTTAAACTCTCACTTCAACTCTCTTGTGATAGCAAGTGAGGCCTTAAATCACAGCCGCAGGGACCAACTAAACACTTTATGCAAACTGATGCAACATGACCAACAAAGCTTCTGTTGATGCCTGTCTTAGAGCATCACTTTTAAGAGCATAACTCAGTTCTTCTCTGCTCAGGGCATATTGTGTAATGCAGGACTGCAAGCCAAAGTTCTCCCAATACGACTGAAACAATGGCACTCCCCTTTATATAACAGTACTCTAAAACTATGGTGATAATACAGGTTTCCACAAAGTTCTCACAATACTCTTTTTCAAGTAATCGCAGAATTATCCGTCCATGTGTTGATTTGCAGTCTGGGCTCAAACCAAATGTCTAGTCATGGTAGTGGTGTGATGCACGTCACTGGTGACAAACTTAGCAGTAAGGTCTAAAATGTGTACCAGATGTTTACAGAAGCATGCTGACATTTAGCATTTTGACACTTGCAAACCGGACTTTCCATCTCCCAGTACTTTCCAGGGCTTTGAGATTGAGGAAAACATTTTGTTACATAAACTAATACTAAACCAAAGCAGTTGATGGTTTCTTGCACATGAAACAGTCAAATAGTTAAAAATTTAAATGGTTTTTACGTTTGTTGTCATGCCTTTCTATATGGGACAATGCAAACCTGAAAATATACAAATAACTAGAATCCTGTACTGGAAATTGGCTTAGCACAGCATCTTCTCATCTTCATGCAAACCTCAATAAAAGATAAGTATGCTATGAAACAATGTATTATCATATATATACCTGCTACTACATTGTTTCCCATTAAATAATCTGATAGCAGCTGGCAGAAAACACTTCCTGCAACAATTCAGTCCTGGTTCGAGGCTGGATCAGCCTATGACTGAAGGTGCCAAGTTGGAGCATGCCAAGAGTATTGGAGAGGGCTATCCAAAATGGACACAATACACAGTCATTGAACTGTGTTCTGTTCTGACCTAACAAATAACATACATAGAACTGATGTTCTTTATCAATTTGTTGGTCATGCTTGCACTTGTGTGTGCATCTTCACCACTAAACAACAAAGACATGAGTGCTGGTCACCAGTCTGGTAGAAGGTGCACAGGAGGAACTTCATAAGGTTGAACATTTACCAGCCATCTGATGAAGTGTGGTCTACTCTGACTTGTCTTGTAGAAGGTGTCCGGATGCATGGACCATCCCAGCTTGCTGCCCAGCAGTACCCCAAGGCATCTGTCACTATAAACCCTGTTCCACCACTGTTCCTTGCATGGTGTGGAACATGATCTGGAACAGGCATCCTCTTCCTAAAATCCACAACTATTTATTTAGCTTTTGAGATGAGTTTTAAATGGCTTTGGTAGCTTCAGTGTGTGTAACGACTTCCGGGGGGGGGGGGGGGGGGTGTCAATTTGTACTTTGAGTGAGAATAAAAACATTTGGCGTCTTTAAAGTCAAGAAGATTGGGAAATAGGAAAAAAAATACTGTTTACAATTATTGGTCTAGGGATGAGAATCAGCACTTCCAAATCTGAGGCCATGGTCCTCAGTTGGAAAAGGGTATAATGCTCTCTTCAGGTCAAGGGTGAGGTTCTGCCACAAGTGGAGGAGCTTTTGTTAACAAGCGACAGAAGAATGGAGCGTGAGATTGACAGATGGATTGGTGCAGCGCCTGCAGTATTGTGGACTCTGTGCCAATCTGTTGCGGTAAAGAGGGAGCTGAGCTGTAATGCAAAGCTCTCTGTTTACTGGTCGTCTACGTTCCTACCCTCACATATGGTCACGAACTCTGGGTATTGACCGGAAGAATGAGATTACGGATACAAGCGTTTGAAATTAGTTTCCTCTGCAGGGTAGCTTGACTCTCCCTTAGAGAGAGGGTGAGAAGTTCAGTTATCCGGGAGAGACTCAGAGTAGAACCACTACTCCTCCACACCTAAAGGAGCCAGTTGAGACGGTCCGGGCATCTGGTAAGGATGTGCCCTGGGCACCTCCCCTGGGAGGTGCTTCAGGCATGTCCAACTGGGAGGAGATCCCAGGGAAGACCCAGGGCATGCTGGAGAGACTATGTCTCTCGGAGGCCTGGGAATGCCTTGGGATCCTCCCAGAGGAGCTTGGAAGAGGTGGCTGTGGAAAGAGATGTCTGGGTCTCCCTGCCCCCGCAACCCGACTTGGGAGTAAGTGTAAGATGATGGATGGATGGATGGAATTCTTGGTCTAGACTAGTTTAGTTCATTACTGGAACTAAAGTCTTTAGCATAGGGTATATAATGAGTAGGGTAAGTGAAGAAAAGTTGAGCTTTCACATGTACAACTCTCCAAACACAACATCAGTAAATCCTCTACCCTTTATTGCACCTTTGAATCCAAAGAGACATTTCTTTTAATCATTTTTAGCCTTGGCCTCATTAGTGTGTTCAAGATTTATGTGTTGGGTCAGGATGACATGGTCCAACACAGTAAAGACTGCCATATTTCACTAGATTTATTTCTCCTCCAAAAAGAACCCTCCAAAGCCATCACCATGCTCTGTTTCCACCCCATCCGACTCCACAAATCCTCTCTCATGACCCCCTGCCTTTGTTTGTGTAGTTCTCTTATGTAACTTCATGAGCAGCTAAAAATAGACCGGAGGTCAGGACAGACAGTGTTTGGAGTTGAAGAGTGGTAGATGTCTTGCAGCGTCTCGGTGATTATGCTCACAAATCTCTACAGCTCACAGGAAGAGCAACCAAGAATTTCCCCTGGGAAACATGAACCAAATCCAGACCTACTGTGCGAGACGTGACAGTCTGCTCGGATAATTCAGTCCCTGCTGTTTCACAGCATGCCTTGTGTTCTTATTATTTTTTCCACTTTAAATTACAATTCCTTACATGCTGGGTCATGACCAAACCTGGGTTTCAGGATATTTTTTTTTTATGTGTTTGAACCACGCAAGTGAAAGTCATTTAAAAAATAAACATACATTTCTCAAAAATAGCTCCAACGGTCCTGTTAATAAAGTGCTCCCAGCACGATATACATAAATAGATTCTATCATGCTCAAGTTAAACTCTCTCAGTTATTCTTTCTGAGGGAAAAAGAGACTTCTTTTAGGTCCAAAGACACCTCATTTTGTGAATTCTTCCTTCTAAAAATAGCTGGCAGGAACTATGGCTTTAACCACAGAGTACATTTTGAGGTTTGAGCACTGTCTCTGCAGTTTGAACGTTGCCAGGTTTAACCTTGTGAGAACTATTTAGGCTTGTTGTTTTGGAGTCATCCCAAAACAGCAAAATAGCACAGCTACTGCTCAGTCTGTCCAAACCCCAGCAGACAAACAGACAGTATCACATCATTCATGTCAAGCAGTGATAAAATATGTCATAGGTCAAGAGGCAGTTTAAAACAGAATTTTACAACGTTTGAGAAACGATGTCAAGTATCTGTAGCATGCTTTTTTAGACAATGACTGAGCAAACTGCAATTGTTGCAGTTTAACAATCATTTGCATTGGGGAATTTTATGTTGACTAAAATTAAAGCTCAACATTTAGTCACCTAACTTTGATCAAGTTTGAATAAAAAGTTGGCTCTAAAGTTTTCAGGAGTTTTGTTATATCTAACTGACATTCATTAAAGCAGGATTTTGTACAAAATACTGGAAGTTGAAGTTGAAAGAAGAACAGAGCCCTCCATGGAGAGGTTTCAGTACAAGTTTTAAGCCCACTCCATGTAAATGCAAGATATTTTATACTTTTATTATTATTATTATTATTTTTTAAACACCTCAGGTATTTTTTTCTGGTGTTGACTCTCATCTCACCTATTAAATTTGGGCTCATCTAGTCTAGCATTGAAATACACCAGCTATGGTTGCTCATTTTAAATGCTTTTTTATTGTTAGACAAGTGGTGGATTTATCTTACTATTACAAATAAATAAGCTTGTATATTTTAAGTGCTAGTGAGAATAACAAAAAATAAAACAAAATAAGTTTCACATGTGAAACAATACATTTAAAGAAACTAAAATATAAAGTTTTACAACATGTTTGCAACTCTCTGAGTTCATTCGCAAAAGCCAACTTCTTCCATGGCTGATGTAAAAGTATTTAGAACAGCTTTGGCAAATAATTCAAGTTCCAAGAGATAAACAATATGACGTTGGTGTTTTTGTATTCAAAAGGCCACTTCACATGAAACTGAGTTTCTTCTGTTTTTTTTTTTTTTTAAAGGTGGCGGCTGTGGTTATACAGTACTGCTATTGTCTGTTATACGATAACTATGTCGCTCATATAGGGGCTTCCTCTCTTCCAAGTTGTTTTTCTCAGAGGTCTGGACAGGGCCAGAAATCTGAGCCACCAAGCCAAACTAGTTGTTGTGTGTTGGAGTGAAAGTAAGTAGGGGACTGCAGCTGAATATTACCTTTACACTCTCTGGGAACTCCTCGCTTGTGCAGTGCAGAAGCACATGTCCCTTGTTGGGCAGGTTCATGTAGATGCAGTTGGCAGCATGGTCATCAGGAACTGTCAGTTTGTCGTAGCGATGGTCACTCATTTGCTGCATAATCTGCAGAAACAGGAAACACACACAGAGATAAACAGCCTGTGAGAGCCAGCATGATATTCAGACACAATGCAGACCGTCCTTCAAACTTTTTGTCTTAGATGTGAGGTTATAATTCCCAAAACAGCAACTTTTTACTTGCCAAACCACTATGGGTGCTGAAGCGGAGGGAGGCTTAATGGTGAACACAGAAGCAGACCGACATTCCGTCTTAGCAGATGTCATGCTCTTTATGTAATCTGAAGAAACTGAAGGTGGGATGAGGGCCTGAAGAGGGGGGGGTAGAGAAAATACCTCTGCAGCTGAGTGGAAGTCAGTGTGTTGAGGATGTTATGACCAGAAGTGGAGCAGGTGCCTCTAAATGTTTATGAGCCAAACATCTGTGGACGGATACTTCTGAGCTGAGAAGGAAGTGAATGTGGAAAGCTAGTAAAAAATGTCAACATTTGTTTTGAGAGGTGATTTTTACAAGTGCACTTACTGGTGTGTCAGATATTTTCAGCATAACTCTCAAGTAGGCTAAAGCTAAGGTTCTAAACCAGGAGGGGGGGGGGGGGGGGACCCAAGATTCTCCTTCTGGGTCAGGGATGAGTCTCTGCCTTAATCAGCTGAGTGATGGTAAAATGGAGCAGAAGATGGATCAACACATTTGAGCCTCATCTCCAGCAATGGGGGTGTTGCTCCGGTCCATTATAGTAAAGAAAGAGTTGAGCCAAAAGGCAAATCTCTTGAATCACTGGTCCATCTATGTTCCAACCCTTACCTAGGGGTCAGGAGGTTTGTATTACCGCTGAAAGATCAATATTCCAAGTGCAAGAGCCTATAATGAGCTTCCTTCATAGCGTGGCCAGGGTCAGCCAGAAAGACAAGGTGAGAAGCTCTGTCATTCTGGCAGGGGAACTTAGAGCAGAGCCACTGCTCCTTCTCATCACATTTGATTTTAATATTTCATTTTCCAATTTCATGTTTTTGTTAATGGAAGCAATATGTTTGTCATCTGCAAATAAATAGAAAACATTTTTTTTTTTTTATGGTTACGCAACAGGGAAAACATTTTCTTCTGATGTGCCACACCTTAAAACCTAATCTTCTTGATAAAGAAAGTGCTTGGTTAATAAAACAATGCACTTTCAGTGTAGACTATTGTATTCCACTCCTCATTGACTGGTTCAGAAGAGAACAAAGGGCCATATACAGCGTAGGAAAAGTCACATCCTGCAGCAGTCTTCGACAAGTATCTGGTTTGCATTTATTACCAGTTTTGTCTGTTGAATCTTCCCACTCCTTGTGCAAAAATAGACATGGTAACAAATTATCAAATTCAAATATGCTACAAGCACTTTCTGAGGACTTCCCAGAGACAATCTGAATGCAGAAATCAACACATTATTTTTTCAGGCTGCAGCATAGACTTTGTTGGGATGAAAAGAAGAACACGATGTGCATTGTATAGGAGACAAACTGCATATTTAAACAGAACGCTTAAGAAAAAGTTCACTGGACTTAAAAAGCTCATGGGTAATTTGTAAAGTGGCTTACTTGCAGCTGATATAATAATAATAATAAAAAAAATATATTAATACAGAGTCTAATGCTCATTAATGATACAAAGAAGGTAATGCTGTCCTGATCCAGGGTTTTGTTTGTTTTATTTTATCCTGTTTGTTATTAGAGAATCAGTTAATTTAGTCATGTTGTTATTTGTATTTTCTTTTGGATATACTTGTTTTTGTTTGTTTGTTTTATTTTCTGGTTCTCCCAAATGTTATTCACCACTGCATTCCCTCACCCAATCCTTCTCCTCATTAAGCACCTGCCTTTCATTTGACAATCAGCCCACTTGTATCCACTGGTTCCTTATGCTTCCAGTACCATATTTTAAGTTGCATCAGTCAAAAAAAGCATCATGACGAGGAAAAATATATATAAGTCACTTCAGCATAGACGTCACATTCATCATGCATTTATTTAATGGTCAAAACAGCTTCATTTCGCCTGGGCGGCGTGGCGCCATCCATCCATACACCGCGGCCGGAGCCGCTAGCTTTTTTTTTTCATTCAACCTTTATTTATACAGATAAATCACATTGAGCCTCGAGGACTCATTTACAAAAGAAACCTGTTTGCTCTGCAGCGTTCATCCGCCTGCACCAGCTGAGTGAAGCGAGCGCACACGGGAGGACTCGTTGTTGCAGTTCTTCAAAATTTAAAGCATCAGTCAAAAATTGCATTATGAACATGGAAAAAATATGTATATAAGTTGCTTCGACATATAAGTCACAGGACTGACAAATCTATGCAAAAAAAAAAAAAACTGTGACTTATACGCCGGAATATACGGTATTAATTTACTCCCAGTTCTTACCTTGTCATCAGTCTGTCATACTGTTTGTTCTCCTGCCTGTGTACTCTTTGTCTCTTGGTTCTCGTTGTATGTTGTTTGCTTCCTTGTCAGACTTGAATTGTCTAATTAAAATCCTTCTTTTTTGTGTGTGAAACCAGTCTGTGTTAGTTTGCATCCTTGGGTTCTCCCTCAACCAATCCTGACAAGTTTAACCCTAGCTCTTTTTTGTTACACAAGTTGTAACTTAGGAGGCACCATGACAAATTGATGATGCAAAAACTCTTCAAAACGGCTTTAGGGATGATGCAAATGGCATTTGTGAGTGTTGGCTACAGACTCAAGCGTATAAATGTCTGTATGTGTGCAACCAGACACATTCTCATGTCACACGTGGGTGTGTAGCATGATCACAGCAGCCTAATGAAAAACACTCCCGTTCATGTGCGTGACCACCAATACTCTCCTTCACAAGGGGATAAGGAGTGGTAGCTGGGAGACTGAACATTGACTCCACCAAAAATCACAGCTGATCTTGCTACACTCTGTTCTTTTTAACAAGAAGTAAAGTTCAAGAACATCGTCCCAGAGCATAATTCCATTATGTAACATGCTGTTCGATTTATTTTCATTATAAAACAGCACACTTAGTGTCTTTTAAACTAGATTTTAATTTGAGTCTTAAATTTGAAGACACACGTATCATTTTCTGATCGTTTTTTTTAAGCAGTTCTTTCATGAGTTATTGCTTTAGATTTGTGCCTCATCTCCAAGAAGAACAACTGGAGAGCCAAAGCTTCTACGCAGTAGCCCTGGCTGGGAACCAAGTGTAAACCTACAACAAATCAACTGTGACTTTCTCCTGGACAGTGGCTGAGGTCCAGTTAATACAGCGAGTGGTAAATGGGCAGCAAAACGTGTCCAGTCAGAGCTGCTAAATCTAAATATTTACTGGAAAGTAATAAAATCCAGTAGGCTGGGCACTCTCAGGCCGTTAACAAGAACTTTAACAATTTTACTGGACCTGTTGTCATCCACAATCTACATTACTTGTATTTTGACCCCCAGTATGAATATTTATAATACCTCCCATGAAGTCTGTAAAAGTTTTACAACTTTTTGTTTTACTAAGCAACGGCAACATACAGGCCAAATCATTCTTGAGGCAACCAAACCCTGAAAGGAGTGAAACTGAAACCACTTCCTGTTCATGTGCACCGAATGTTTGTTATCGTCTTGACAAACATGTCTCTATACACTTGATCATTTTATATAAGCTATGGTGGTTTTATAAAAAAAAGCTATGGTTTCAATATTATGTTTTATTTGAGAAATTTTGTGTATACTTCTCTTGTTCCTGTGTTGATTCTTTCTGAGAGCCACAGTTTCCATTCACAGCCCATAAAAAAAAACATCTGCTTGTTTATTTTAATTAAATTATCTTATAACAGAAGGTTCCAGATCAGCTTTGCAAGACAGAGTCTTGACATGGACCGTTGTCTTCCAACTTCCATGCAGTGTACTTAAAAAACACTTAGAACATAAAATACACCATACTCATCAATCTGATCTTTCTTGTGGTGCTGTCATCTCATCTGTGGAACTTAATCATGTCAGCATCCTTGGGGTGGAGACAAAACTCTGACCAGCAGAGAGCAATGACCTCATGAATCATGGAAGGACGTAACTGATGATGTAAAACCTGCCCAGTGGTCTGCTACAGGGTGGGGGCACATATGTATGTGTGTGTGTGTGTGTGTACTGGGAGTTGGTGCAGCAGCATGTAACAGGGGCTGTATTTTTGTGTGAAGCTTAGCATTCTCAGCCCACAGATGGATGATGAAATCTTTTCAGTCAGCATGAAGTTATATTCCTGACAGAGTTAAGCACAAACCCAGACTTGTAAATCTTCTCAAGTTCAGACACAAAAATGAGTTTTATTAATCACAAATGCAAACCCCAACTCTGAAAAAGTTGGGACACTGTAAAATGTCAATTAAAACAGATTACAATGGTTTGCTAATTTTATGAACCTTTTTGCTATTCACAAAGAAAGCATATATAGTAGTCCCTCGCTACTTCACGGTTCGTTTATCGCGGACTCGCTCTATCGTGGTTTATCAAAATAAGATTGGACATGACACATAATTGGCCGATTGATGGATGAGCCAAACGATCAGCATGAATTTTTTATTTAAAATAAATTATTTTAAACTATTTAGCAGCACCTGCTGCACATTTGTGCAGTCCAGAGCTGCAGAAAAAGCTTCCTCGTGCAGCTATGTGCAGCGCTTACTGCAGCAGGATAAACTCCCTGCTGCAGCGGAGAGGTGGGCGTGGCCAAGAGCACTTGTAGGTGGCAAAGAGCAGAGGAGGCAGGGAGCTGAAATCATGACATTCTGTGATTTTTTTTAGAGCGTTTAGAGTTCAGAAACATTTTTTTTAGAATATTGCAAGAGTGTGGGAAGGGTTTAAAATGCCTAATATATATATATATATATATATATATAT